CAGCAGGAAGGCTGAGCACGGCAGCAGCCAGAGCCTCCGTGAGCTCGGTGTCCCGGAGCCGTCCTTGTTCCTGCATCACACTCAGAAGCTCATTGAGAAGCAGGGACATTCTCAAGCCCTCCACCCCAACTGGAGGGTAATAAGGGGAGAGAAGCAGCTTCTGGACAGCAGCCTGGACCTGGGGGTTTGGACAGGGGACGTATTATGCTATGGTGATGCAGGAAAATACATTTCTCTTGAAATCTAAGTGATTATTACCAACTTTGTAACATCGCAAAGTTGGTGGCTCATTTTGAGACAGATTTTGGCAAATAAAACCTGTAAACTTCCACTTGTTTGTCCCAAAACCATAATATTTGTCCCCTTCGAGGACCAGCTGTTTCCAGGTAAAAACTAAAAAATGTACTTTTTACTATGTGGCTTTTAACATGTGATACACAATAACAACAAGTACAAACCCAGTTCTCACCTCTTCCATGACGTCATCGTTTTTGACCAGTTTCTGGAAAGACTCTCGTGCAAGTGTCAGATTTAAGCCTGGGTAGTTTGTTGACGTCTGGAAATGTTTGTCTTTGCTACAAAAACAAACAAAGGAAATAAGTCTTTTACTTTGTTCTAGTGATCTGATCGACCGCGATATGCAGAAAAAATAAGAAATAATTAGAAATACTCATTACCTTCGCTCCAGGAAGCTTTGATTGATACAAACTGCAGAGGCGAATGTCCTGTGGATTTCCCTTAAAAGACAGAATATGGCAATAGTTGACATCTTAAGGCAGATATGAGTTGTTTGTCATAAATAAACAAAAGTGCACAGAATTTTTAAATCAAATACCTGCTATTGTCCTATTTTTCTTGATATCAAACACATTTTTTTTCATGCTTTGGCTGGGTTTGCGACTACTCTGGTGGGATTTATAAATTAAAATATATAATTTCACATTTGTTATGGACAGTTATTTTCACGCTGACAGCCACTAGAGGGCACTATAGCTGGCTGGTGTGACTTATAGTCTGGAAAATAAAGTAAATGTATGTCAAAAAGTCCAGAAATTTGCACTATAGCTGGCTGGTGCGACTTATAGTCAAAAAGTCCAGAAACAAATAAAAAAAAAAGTTAACACCTACAGGTCCTTTAAATGTTTTTTTTCAGTTTTGGGAAAAGAAAAGAATCCAACCTTCTCCAGACAACAAATTGCTTCAAACTCACTTTTTGACTTTATTCCACGTCTTTGAATCGTGCGGTGACGTCCATCTGTCGACCAGGTCTTCAATACAACAGTGTGTGACGTTTCTAACAGGCTGTGATTTTGACTTTGGAGAAAAAGAAAAAGAAATTATTATTTTTATCACTGTCATCATTATGAACATGAGGTTGATAACAAAAGTACAGTCGAGATGAACCCGCCTCAATAGAACCCTCGACTTAAACTAAACTCTGTAACAGTAGACGTCAGATTTTTGTCTTCACCATTTTCGTTGAGCGAGTTGCAAAAGAACAGTTTTCTCCCGCAAAGATGTTTCCAACGGTGGGACTTCCATCGCTGCCTGGAATTACAAAACACAGATATGAAACGGAATGTCTTTTACAGTCAAAGCTGTTGACACTGGTGTTACTGTAGCTTATAAGAGCGCCACCTGGTGGCAGTTGAACAGGCAGAGGAACAGCAGAATGACCCGCGACTCCATGTCCCAGCTGCCCTTGCTCTTCACTCCCAAAGGAATAAACCCGCCCCGACTCTGTCAGCACCAAGGTGTGATGTCTGGGAAAAAAACAAAAACACATTTCACCAACGTGGGACACGTGGTCACTCCGGTTGATGCCAAAGTCAAGAGGTCATTTTGGGACAATGAAGTAAAAGTGTACTGTACCGGCCACATGCAAGTCGGGTGACCTTTGCCCCAAAGAGCTCTGCAACAAGACGAGGATGGAGTTCGTCTCTGAGCGAGTTGTGTCCCAGCTGACCAGACTGACCCGATCCAAACGTGAAGACGACGCCGTCCTGGGAAAACGACAACAACAACAACAACAAGAGTCACTGTGGAGACGTTAGCTACAAGAAGAACCAACTGTTTGAGACAGACCTAACTGTTTGTTATGAAACGTTTGACAACCACCAGTCAACAAACGCAGCCCATGTTGGCCTCAGATACTCAGTTGAGTCACTGCTACGATTTACGTTGGCATTTTCTCACATCCATGTTGTAACTAGTAGGTAACTTCAGGTAAACGACTAAACTAGTACAAAAAATTAATTTATATATTTCGACTAACCTTGGTCAGAGTCGCTGTGTGATCCGTCCCACAGGAAACACGAACGGTTTTCTTCATGTTCAAGGATTTCACAGGAGTCGGTTCACGTCTGTCTAAAAAATTATAAAAACATATTTGAACTCAGACGTACACCCTCCTCTGCATTATGTAACAAGTGAAAATCGAGAAAGTACTTATGGGTAAAAACTACCCCAAAAACCTTTGGTGTCTCCCAGTCCGAGCTGACCACACTGATTCCTCCCCCAGCCCAACACAGCTCCAGAGACAGAGACGACAAAGCTCTGGTCTCCCCCTGCTGCCACGTCAACCAGGGGGAGGGCCGACAGGGAGGTCAGGTGTTGAGGGGACCACGTGCCCGCGGTCCTCCTGTTTCCCAGACCCAGCTGACCCCTGGAGTCTTCACCCCACGTGTACACCTGACCGTCTGTGGGGAGACTCTGTTAGCTTAGTAATCACTGTGTTTTTCACATGTTCGTTATTTTCTCACTGACCGCCACTAGAGGGCACTCTAGGCTTGTGTACTAGTATCTGTTACACCTGTACCACTGAAAATGTACATGTTCATTCATTTCACACTGGCGGCCACTAGAGGGCACTAGTGCGACTTATAGTCCAGAAAATATGAGATATATATATTTACACTGTATATATACAGTACATATGTATATATATGTAGCCTTTTTACCTTTGGTCAGGACAACTGAATGAGAGCTTCCACAAGCCACCTGTGAAACTGGTGTCTTCAACAGACCTTCTATGGGCCTGAAAAAAAAAGTATTTTTAAATTTAAAAAAAAAATAATGTACACACATTTCCTTTTCGACGTATCCGGTTAAATCACAACAATATGATGGATTCGTTTCTTTGTTCACTCTGAATTTACCAAAGGTGTGAATGTAAGTGTGAATGTTTTTATTTTTAATTATTTTTATGTCACCCTGTGAAAAAAACAAAACCAGTAAATCACCTGGGATTGCAGGGCAGGCGACTAGTGTCCAGACAGAGAACAGCGCCCCCCTTGGTGAGCAGTGTGATCACACCTTCATCTCCACAACTCACTGCCTGGATCTGTTCTTTACACTTCACGAACGCTGTCAGTAAAACAGTAGTACAGTAGTGACAGCGCCTCAGTGTGGACATTAAAGCGATTCATTTTTATACAGTTCCAGAGGTGTTCGAACTCACTCTGTTTCCCCACGACTCTTCTTCCATCCTGGCTCCGGTTGGTCCGGATGAAGACAGCGATTCCATTAGTTTTGACATAAGTCAGAACCTTGGCTCCTGCCGCCAGGTCCCGAACTCCGTGGTCCAGGTTTAGGAAGTGGATCTGATCCACGGCCGTGGTTGTACCGCGGACCGGTGGGTTTTTGAGGGAGAAGCCGCGGCCACACTCTTCTCCCCATGAAAACATGACGTTTACCTCTCTCTCTCTCTCTCTCTCTCTCTGAGTGTGTGTGTGTGTGTGTGTGTGAGTCATGCGTGAGTACACATTGTTAGCACAGTGAAAATCCTCACAGGTTCCTGGAAGGAATTAAAGAGGCTGACGCGACACCAGAGTTCGGTTCGCGTTACGGGGTGACTGGATTTGAAAGCGACTAAAAACTGGCCGTAAAATAAATTAAAAATTTAAAAGTTTTTTTCTGAACCTAATTAAAAAAATACGAAAAGAAATGATAATAAAACATCGGTCGTTCACAGAGAATGTGTGACTTTTGTTTGTTTGTTCTGTTTCGTTTTTAGCCAAATGGAAAACAAAAGTTAAACTTTAGTCAGCGAGGATAAAACGACACGATGTCGTCACGACGTGTTCCCCTTCAATGAAAGTGAAAGTCAACTTTTCTTTTATTTATTTCTATTAAATACTAGTGGTTTAGTAGTAAATGCATCCTGATTATAAAATTACTTTACACTGGGACAAAGTTAACAGAAAACAGATACCGTTCATCTCCACGAAGACTTGACAAAAACCGAATCAATGCAGTTACACCAGTCAACCAGTAGATGGAGGTAAAGACTTCACCTCCCAGTCAGTTGACTGTTTCATCATCGTGAGCAACATGTGTTACAACAACTCGGGTTGGACAAATAAATACTTCATAAAAACTATCAAGGTTTTGAAACGACTAAAAAATAATTTTTGATCAAACGTGATTGAGATTCTCACCGACAGAAATTAAGTTAAAAATTATAATTCAGCAGCTGTTATTATTATTATTATTACTATTATTATTATTATTATGCAGGTAACTGTATATTTATATAATATATTTAACAATACCATACGACATACATATCAGGGCCTCATATAAGAGTAAAGACTTGGAGTTTGACGTCATTGTAGTCATTGACTCGATCATCACTCATGTCCGTTCTCTGCCTGTTTCTTTTTTAAAAACCCAACAACCCTGTGAACAGACACAGTTTTCACCAAAGTATTTGACATCAGATGATTATGACTGTCAGTGTCAGGGCTGTCGGTTTTCACTTCCTGGTCTTGTCCGCTGGGTGGAGTCAGTGTCATTACACTCACCTGTGTCTCTCATTAGTCTCACTGGTGTCACCTGGTGCCCTGGGTCTATATATATACACCTCCCCCCCCTCCCTCTCTCTGACTCTGTCTTGGTGGATCATTGTTCTGCAGCTGTTCATGAGTGTGTTGTACCATGTGTTTGTGAGTTTCCTGTTCTGTTTTTTCTAGTATTCTGTGTTAAGAAGAGAGTTCTGTGCCTGGTAGGTTTTTTTTTGTGTGTGCCTTGTCCTGTTTTATTAATTCGCACTTTGTGAATAAACCTGCTCTCCTGGTGTCACATTTGGGTCCTACCTGCTTCCCATGATATATATATATATATATATATATATG